TTATTATTATTATTATTATTATTATTAGTACTATTATTATTATTATTATTATTATGACGATTGTTGTTGTTGTTGTTGTTATTTTATTGTTGTTATTTATAATTTATATAATTAACCTCCTTGTGGTTCGACTCCAGTCTTGTCGAGTAATTATACTTCGACACTCCTACACTTGGAAGAAGATATCAATCTTTTGGTTGTGTCAAAATGATATATCATTTGACCCTTGAAAATTAAAAATAAAATAACTCAGTCAAGGCGCACAAGCCTAGGCTAAAAGGTCCACGTGTCTAGGCATTTTTTTCGTATTTATTGGTTTTTTTTTTTTGCCCTACCATTTTTCTCCTTTGCTATTGGGTTTTAATTAAACTTTTTATTTACTATTTAAAAAAATTATGATATTTTAATAAAATATGATTTGATTTTTACTTAATTTAATAATACACTTCAAAAAAAAATCTAATTTTAGATGGCATTCTTTCTGTGCAGCTTTACTTACTTTCTTTTTCTCTTTAATTCTATTAAAATGTTTTCTTGTTTGTTTTTATTATTATTTTATTAAATAAAATATTAGTTCTAATAAACATTCTTATTAAATACAAATGAGTCTATGTCCTGTATTTTAAGATTAAATATCTATATCCACATGTACCTCGCAACTTTATAGTAATATTGTTTGGTTTTTTTTCTATGCAGCTTTACTTACTTTCTTTTTCTCTTTAATTCTATTAAAATGTTTTCTTGTTTGTTTTTATTATTATTTTATTAAATAAAATATTAGTTCTAATAAACATTCTTATTAAATACAAATGAGTCTATATCCTGTATTTCAAGATTAAATATCTATATCCACATGTACCCACATGTACCTCACAACTTTATAGTAATATTGTTTGGTTTTTAATGAGTTTTTACATGAAAAGATAACATTTTTTTATAATATATACAACCTTACATGATTTTTTTCTTTAATTTTATTCCATCAATTTCATCTTTATATTATCATTAGATTAAATAAAAAAATTAATTCTGATAAAAAAAATTATTAAACACAATGAGATAAATAACTTGTGAGATTAAATATTTTAAACTATTTCAATCTCTTAAATGTTTCAATTTAAAATTTGTTTATTGTTAATGTTTTTTATATTTATTGAAATAGATTAACCTTGATTTATTTCATTAAATATATGTATATATACATATTATTTACACCAGATATTTTTAAATTAAGTGTTGCGACAAAGTCTATATATTTATTTTATTTTATTCTGGAAAAAAAAAAAAACATATTCGTCTCCGCGGGTTAGCTAGAATGAATTATTAATACGTGATTGTGGGTGCATGTGCTTGAGCATGTGGTTAAAGATGTGACAAGGGAGTTGTCTTCATTAGCAATAGCGGATAGATTTCAGAATTTGGCACGTCAAACTGAGAGTGTTGATGGAAAGTCCAGAAGGTAGCGCGTGGCTTGGAGAAGAAGACCAATATTGGCTTGGAGATGTCATGGTCTCCGCGAACGTGGCGTGCTTATCCTCAGTGTCAGGCATGCATGCCACCTTCCCACTTGCAAGGGTTCTGATAGACTTTTGCCAATAAAACCAAAAAAAACCAGCACAGCAGCGGATAGAAAAAGAAATTCCTCATCAATTGACATTCCCGACGTCTGCTAATGAGACTTCAGGGTGCTTGAAATTGTTTTTAAAATGTTTTTATGTAGTTTTATGTAAATATAAAGCTATAGGTTTATGTAAATTCCTCACCAATTGACATACCAAGGGCCATTTTCCCTCCAGCTGTTGAAGTTTTTGTATCTATAGATAGAAACCGGTGTATAATCTGGGGTTCAAATTGGTGTTGCATGAACCCAGAAAGTTTCAAGTCTGGAATTTCAATTATTATCCTTTTCTTCTTCATCATGGTAACCAAAAACGATAGCCATAAATTTCAAGCGGAAGAAAGGATGCAACAAAGATGGCTCAAGCAAACCTATGGCACTACACTTGCATATAATTGATACATGTTAGAAACGTCTGGTCTAGAGTCTAGAGAAAAGCGCCTGTAATTAATTAATAGCTGGTCGACATTAAAATTCAAAATAGGGATTCTGGGACCATTTGCCACTGTACAACATATCATAAACCCCTAAGAACTGCGATGCTGGGGGACCATGCATTGCCACTGAGAAAAAGCTAAAGAGAGCAACGTGCCTGTATAAGAACAAACAAAACCTAAAATTATGATGAAATACAGGCAATATCTCTAAGATTCTGATTTGTGGGCTCATCCAGTGAAGGCAATTTGCATTAGATTTAAGCCTACTTTCCATCGCTAAATGATAGTGATTCTTTTAATTCAAAGCATATAATCATGAATCGCCCAGCTTACAAGTCACTGCATGGCATCTTTTAGTACAAGTTGTAAAGGACGAAGCACAAGTTGAATCAAATCAAGATGCCGCGCAAATCAACGTAGACGATCCATTATAGGGAGTACTTAAAAGGAAAAAGCTCAACAAGTAGGCGCATTATTCCTTTAATCAGTGGCTAACTTTTGTTGCCGCCAACCAAAATGGTTAAAAAAAACAAAAACACTAAATATAGAGGACAGAGAAATGAAACTCTATGGTGGCTGTCAAGCTTTAACTTAATGAATCAAGTTTGCAGCAGCAGTACTTTGAACAACCCCAATGAAACATTTTCTACCTTTTAATTACATTAAGATTGAAAGTTTGGGCAGAGAGCCATTGCAAAATATGGTGCACGATTGATCGTTCCCGTAGATGTTAAAAAGAAGCCATGGGAGCAGAAACTTCCACTTCAAAATGGCACCCAGACATACCACCAGTCGCAGAGGTAACAGTGGGAGAGCTTTCCGAGGTTGAGATCGTGGATTTCAGTGGAGGTGGAATCACGAAGGAATACGCCGCAGAGGACATCAAGAACGCTGATCCCTCTACCGTGAGTTGTAGCTACCTTCTTACTATTTGTGTGTTCAGTCATAGTTTTCAATCTCTCTACATGTAACCATATCATTTCGTAAGGCTTGGTTTCTGTCCAGGAATTGCTTGAAAGGAATTTCATAAAAAACAGATGTAAGAGCAAGCGATGATGCAGATATATAAAGTCTCAGTCCGAACTTCAAAAGTAAAAGTAGTAGGAGTCAGAAATCCAAGACAATAAAGGTACAACTGGATCTTCAAATTCAAAATTTATTACCATGATCATTATCTTCTGCTAGTTTTCTTATCTTAAATCATTTTGCAGCTACAGAACCAGAATCATGTACTCCTACTAATTATTAACTCCTCTTCCAACGATTTTGTTTGGTTAACATAATAATTTTACAAAAAAGATCACATTCTCAAGCTCTCTGCATCTCCACTGGTGTATTTATGGCTCCTTCAACCACAAGACTAGTACTGCCAACAGACTTGAAGAATCAGCCTCTGGAGCAAAAACTCCCTATCCACAACCGTTGGTCCCGAAATACCACCGATTGCAGAGGTTGCTGGTGGGGTCTTTCCAGTAGAGATGGTAGACTGGACAGGAGGTATGATCGAGGATGATGATTCTGCAGTTGATGTAAAAACCATTGACCTATCAACTGTAAGTACGAATATTATTTTTCAGTTTGTTGAAAACAAAACCCTTCCAAACTGGTAGATTGCAGGTATATGTTCAACACAAACTAATTTCTCATGCAGACATGCAAAAAAATATACGACGAAGTAGGAGAACAAAGTAGTGCCTGGTAGCGAAACATGCGTAGAAATTTAGGAGCTGCTAATAATAACTTCATCAGAAGAACCTACAAGATTATTTTAATCAAATCACAATGTGAACTAGATCTATTTGAATGATTGTTAACCATGGTTTCTTTGGAAACTGGTTAGGTTCATTATCTCAATTTCTCAATCAGAGTTTTGGACAAGGATGGGAACCCAGCAAAGCCAGGTGATGTTCTGGCTGTTGAAATATGCAACTTGTGTTTTGCAGCATATCATTTGACAGAGAAAATGGAGGTGGTTCATTGACTGGCCATTTTCCTTGTGCAACCAAAGCTATTTGGTATTTTGAAGGAATATGTGCCTATTCGCCTCAAATACCATCAACAAAGGGATAAAGTTTATTTGATAACTGATATAAAGAATACAATGGTGTTTCTCACAGATGTATCTTTTGCTATCATGCTGTCCATGTGAAGGAAGGATTTCTGGAAAAGTCGATTCTCCTAATGCTGGTGCGACCTTTGCAGTCCCAACAGCTATCTGTGATCAGGTAGTTAATTGACATCCTATCTCCAGATTAACATACATTCTCAAATGGAATGCATGACGTTCTATTATCTGGTACCCAAGGGAGAATTGAACTGAAGAGCTATGCTATTCCTTACCATAATCCCAGACACTACTGATGCGAACCCCAGTTGACTGGATAGTTCACCTATTCAAACAATCACGGTATATAAGAGTTTGCTTGTAACCTGCATGAACCTTAATATCCTCACAGCAAACAAGAATCCTCATAATGGAAAAGCAAGGAATAGTAGTTATCAGCAGCGAAGATTTGAAGACAGGAAAATGTCATCACTTTGCGTCCTTGTGATTGATTTTCTGGGTTTTGAAATGGTGTGGATGAGTGCACTGTGGAGGATATTCGATTAAGTGAAAGGATAATGTGTTGATATATATATAAAAAAAAAAAAAGTCGAAAAAATAAACTTAGGACTTCAAAATATTTAAAAATAAAGTAACAAGAGGATGTTAGCTCCTTTGAACCTTTTGTATTAAATCTTATGTTTTGGTAACATGCCACTACAAGCATGCTGAAGAATAAAGACTGTCACAACGTATACATATATCGCACTGAATTTTAGAGTCAAACAAAAATATAATTTATTCGATTTCTCAAACATCAACTAGAAAGAAATTATCTCGAACATCAACTAGAAAGAACATTAGTTGCTATATAAACTCATTAGAAAGCACAATTGCAGCAACCAGCCCTTCAATTTTGCAAGGTCAAAGGTTCCACCAGAACTAGTAGGCAGAAGAACACAATCTCCCATGTATAAAATATAGTTCAATAACTGACGAAAATAGTAAAACACCATTTCCCACAGTTCAAGAAATTTCATGCGTTCACATAAACGGCAATAAGAATAATGCCCACGCAAGAGATAACATTTCTTGGAGTACGAACGTCAAATGACTGAAACAGAGTTGTTTGTCTTCAAAAACAGGTTTAGCCCTTCAGAAAGGAGAGCGAAGGATCTATGGATTAGTTCTTGTATGTTTATAAGAATAACCTCAAAACTTTAACAGGTAAAATGTATCCTCCTCCCACAGAATTATTAAAGCTGCTCTAGCGTAGCATCTGTTTAATAATATATCGAGAGTGTCCGATGGTGTGGAAGAGATGGATTTTGAACACCGTAAGCCCATAGCCATAGGTCCAACTCCACACTCAGCACCTGAAAAAAAGGAGTCTTCACTGTCAAATAGAATTCAAAGAGCACAAAATTGAGAATCAGCAAAAGAAAGGATTTATTTTAGCAAAAAGCCAGTTTTTTCTCTAGATAGAAGAAGACAAAAACTTTGTATGTTTACTGATCAGAAAAAAAAAAACTTTTTTAAAAGTATAAATTTATTTTTCAAAATTTGCTAGGATTAACTACCAAATATGACCCAAGATGAAATTGTTAGGAAAGCAGATTAGAATATTTGCTAAACCATCACTAATGTGCAGGATTTTTTTCCAAATACCAATAAATGGGTGCTGCCATTCTTCTCTGTATTTTAAAAGAAAATGCCTACCATGATGGTGTGGTCAAAAGTGATTATATGAAGATTGTTGCCAGAAGAATTACATAAATTTAAAATATTTATAGAAATTACATTGGTCAATATATACATATACAAAATATGGCATCACAGTCAGATTTCTTCCCCAAAAGATCACGTTCAAATTCCAGCAGGAAATAGAGCAATCTTTCTCCATTTGTGTAACCAATATAAAAACTCTACAGTATGCAGACAGAAAAATATTTAAAAAAAAATAGCTGTCAGTTCCACCATACCTGTTTTCCTAATTTTACACTAATCAGATCCCTCATTTTCTCCACAGCATATATGGAACAGGCTCGTAATTCAACTTCCTCCTCACTTCCTGAAACTATTTCTTTATTAGACTCAATTATGCTGGCAAGGGTTGAACTATATTTTAGCACACCAAGCTTCCGCAGCATAGCTGGAACAATATAGTCCGCAAATATAGTGATTGAGCTAATGTCATTGAATTCTCCATATCCTTGGCCTTTGAAAGCACCATATAGATCAGCAGCAAATATCTGAGCTCTTTTATACAAGAATATCTGGTGGCCTTTGTAAACAGAGTGGTCTCGAAAGCCTGAAAGATCCCAATTGTGTACAATCATTGTTTAAGTATCCTTGCAGGTTAACTGTAGTATCTTCACATACAACCATGTCAAGATACATATCTATTGATTTGGAGTTGATGAAAAACTGTAAGAAATTACCAGGAAAGTGACTGGCTATAGTGGCAACAAGCTTTGCAGCTGATCTCCCACAGGACTCCACTAGATTCGATGCTTTACCCCCAAAACTTCTTTCCAGCTCAAAACCAACCTATATCAAGAAGTTTACTGATATCAAACAACTTATTAGATCACAAGACTAAGAAATTGAATGAAATTAGATGCAGATTGATACCAATCAACTCAGAGACTAAGATATTTGCATAATAATCCTCAAAAAAATTAAAATGGAAACAATGTTAATTGGAAAATAATTCTAAGTGAAAAGGTAACCTCATGCAGCAGACGAACTCGTTCGTCCTCCAGAGGAAGTGGTCGGGGCCACTTTAACAAGTTGCGTAATTGAAGACCTGGCAACACGAATTGTGGTCTTTCAATATTTACCAAAAAAAACATGCACCCTATACTGCAAAAAGTGTAGACATTGTATCCAAAAATGCGTTTCAAGAAACATTAATTTTTTTTTTAAAAAAAAAAAGGAATTAGAAAAGGTCAATGATTAAAACTTAAAAATTAATTCCCTCATCTAGAAATTAGAATTAAATACTTTCAGTGCACTTTGAGAAGGAACAGGAATGAATGTTGAAAGGTCGATTCCTTCATGTGGACATCAGATTAAACCCTAGTTCCAGTATGGTGCTTGTTGCTTGACTGAATTTAAATTTCATGCAATGCCGAAGACAAATACCACATTTAGAATGCTAAACCATATCAATCATATATTCAGCTTTAATACCCTTGAATAGCTACTTCTAAACTAAGAATTTAGGCTGCCATGAATAGAGAGACAATCAATAAGTTAAAGGCACCAGTGAAATTCAATTTGCTTGTGAGTCTTCAATACTTCCTCCAATCTTTTTATGGAAGTCTCAATCCCTTTTTCTTTTTGCTTCAATCCAAATATTTTTTTGAAATCTGAGAAGGAACTCGTTATATATATATATAAGTGTAAATGTAGCACTATGTGCTTCCAATCATTTAAACAGCAGTGTATATATAAAACGATTCAATCCAACATTTCAAAAGAAGTGTAATTACCGGTGAACTTTTGCAGATGGTCAGCATCAAATACAGATTTGTCATTTTCCAAAGCCTCCTTTAACCCCGAAGCCAAATCATCATAATTTAAGTTCTTGTCTATAAAAAAAATAACAAAACATATGATCAAATCGAAAGAAGAGAAAGATTAGCCAAGCAAACCACACAAACTTTGTATCAAATATCTCAAAAAAAAAAAAACTTATCCAGGGGATTCCAGATGACATTCAAATAAGTTGGCTGCATAGGAAAATTTTAAAAAGCGAAAATCTTTAATAACATTTAAGCTGAAACTAAAGAATAAAGATAGAAAAAAGAATTGAATTCACTGGTTGCCTTGCCTTTCCATCAATTAAGAGGACAAGTAAGCATCCTGAAGCAATGTTTTTACCATAGGAACCAAACAATCTCCTGAACAATGAAGTAACAAAAGCCAAAATACAGACATGCAGAGCAATGAAGTAACAAATTTACAGGGTTCCCAAGCAAAGAAGAAAGATATACCAGGCCAAAAGCAAAAATTGAGCGTGTCCAAAACAAAGAGGTACTGAACGGTGAGAGGTCCGTTGTCAAAATAATGAATCCCTTCAAAATCCCACTCTATTTTCGGAATCTTATCTTGAATATTCTCCACTACTTTCTCTAACCCTGCATGCCACACCACAAACATTCATCAATTCTTTTATTTTCTTTTATAATAAAAAAAAAAGAAAAAGAAAATGTGACATCGTTAAGGGCGGACCTGCAGAGTCGACAACAACGTGAGAGGAGCGGTTGGCGACGAAGGCAGCGGTTGCTTTGACCTGGTCCATAGCTGTCCCGAATGCACTGCACCGGCTGCTGCTGCTGCGTTTGACAGTAGCAGACAGTTTTTGAATTCTACCAACCCTAGTAGGTAGATACTATAAAATAACCCAAAGGAAGTGTTCCGGTCGTCAAAGGTTTGCTTCTTCTTTTTTTTTTTTAAGTATAAATCTTCCGTCTGGAATACAGGATATAATTTATTAAATTTTACGATCGTTTTTGGAAACAATACGATAAAAAATTCAATATCAGTTAAAACGTAAATTAGATTAACAATATCTTTACTGTCAGACACCAAATACTATAATACTTTATAATTATAATTATAATTAGAGGGTCAGAAAGGAGATTATGTTTGCATGTGAACCAAATACAAGTGCATGTTCTTTAAACTATTTCCACGGATGGTCGCTTTCCAGCTTCGTGGTTTGGACTTTGGTCCTCTCCTCTGTCTGTGGATTGCGTTTAGACCATTAATTTTTCCCTCATCATCCGTGTTTTGGTTTCCACGTGAAGCTTGTAGGCCATAGCGTGGACCAGTTCCACTTTCTTCCAGGTTCTTCGTAGTTTCTGTTTTTTAAATTATTTTTTATTTAAAAAAATTACATTTTTTAATGTTTTTATATTATTTAATATAAAAAATATTATTTTTAATTAAAAATAATTTTAAAAATAACATACACAACAATATCAAATATATTTCAGCAGAGTTTGGGATTAAATATAAGGTGTTTTTAAAATATTTTTATATAAAAATATAGATGTTTTTAAAATATTTTTATATCAAAATATATCAAAATAATATTTTTATATATATTTTTTCTGTTTTTAACATCATTACATCAAAACAATAAAAAATATTAAAAATATTAATATAAAATTTAAAAATAAAAACTTAAAATTTTTATAAAGTGTGATCCGACTATATTTTTAAATAGTATTTTTATTACATTAATTTGATGGTGGTAACCACAATTTTTTACTTTTTTTCTGAAAAATTAGCCTATTAAATCATTTTTTCTGAAAATTGGAGTAGAAGTTACTTTTCAAATACAGTTAAAATTAAAGTAACATACCAAAAACTATAATAAAATAATCATATAATAGAATGTGAACCCATTTAGAGGTCTATATTTTTTTCATAAAAAATACCCGCATTTTAAAAAAAGAAATAAACTCTACATCCCATGAATATTTAGATATTGTACCCGCATTTTAAAAAAAAGAAATAAACTCTACATCCCATGTTATAACCCTAATGGTCTAATAAGTTAATTTATTTTTTAATTAGATAATAAAAAAATAGTGATAATAAAACAAAAAATAATCACAATAATTTAGGAAATAAATTTTTTTCAATAATAAAAAAATAATATAATATAATTTTCAGCCTATTAAATATAAAAAAAATTAAATTAAAAAAATCACTTTGAATTTAC